AAAAAATATTGCATTAAAAAAAAAAAGGGGGGCCCGGGAAACAAAAAAAAAAAAAAAAAAAAAAAAAAAAAGAAAACCTAAAGCTTCTACTTTTAACCTCAACAAAGCAAATAATGTAGAGACAGAAATCAGTGAACCTTTAAATAAATTACAGTCCATAGCAGTTTTGGTTAAATTACACATCTGATCTTGTCATAGTTCACTGAAATGATAGAACTAGCCAATAAGACTTCTCATGAAGTATGATGACGTGCATTTAATACATCACATGATGATGACAATTGTGAATAAGTATCGTACCAAAAATGTGTTATGGGTAAAAGTGTACTATGAATTGCCAATTTAACTGACAGTATCTTTTAACTTTGATTTTAATTCCATATGTTTTTCATAAGATCAACAGAAAATAAGTACAACATATGAATTTTACAAGCCCTGACAGAAAGCGCCTATTTTCCAGCAGTTTATCAGAGATCACAAAAATCTTTGCATGATTCAAAACTATAAATTGGAAGTAGTATGGAGAGATTTGTGAAGGAATTACTTAGCAGTGATTATTCACTGCAAAAAACATATTCCACGTTATATAAATGAAGAGGAGAGAAAATTAAGGCTTCACAGAGGTACTTAACATGCAAAAAAAGAACTGTAGTATCTAAATGAAATAATACATTGCATTTTACAGAGAAATCTGCTTGGATCTTACAACTGAAATGACAAGACAGAGAGAAGATCTAGAAAGATGATGGTCATAGCTATGAAGAGATGATGACATCTACTTACATGTATGTCCAGTTCATTAGCTACTTCATAAAACACACAGAAAATACCAAGAATGGAATCCCCAAATTAGCATATGCAGTATTGTTTTAGTTACATCAATACTTTTTGGTCATCTTAAACTCAAAGAACACTGTTCAAGACTGTTTTGCATCTCAAGTATTGTACTGAATGTGTATACATCCACGTTAAACAAGTGGCTTTACCACATTATCAGGTACATGTGGAAGAAATTCATTTGTTCAGACAGCAAGAATATGGTTTTTTTTTTTTCTCTGCCTCTGTTAATTGCTCCCACAAAAAAAATCAACCACCTCTAAGAAACTGCCCAGACTGAAGGGACGAAAAGGACCTTACAGGAATAAAAAGGGATTTTTCTGCTTCTGCGGGTTTAGTTTGTTTGTTTGTTTTATGCAGGAATTTGTTTTATTTTGAACTATCAACAGCAGTTGCACAGACATGATTTACACAGAAGAACACTCTCACAGTTTTGTGCTTTGGAGCTTTTCTAACACAACACAGAGATGAACATCTTATTTTTGAGTTTAAGTAAGTTTGAAAAATATTCTTGTTTGTTTTCCCTATAGTTCTTCTTAATTATTACAAGCATTCTAATTACATGCTCTACATGATGATAAAGCCTGTTGAGTCAACAAATTTAAATGGAGGGACTGCCAGAGCTACAGGACATTTCTTCAAGGTTAGATTACAAAAATGTTTTCAGCTCTACAGTGCGACTATTACATGTCATTGTTTTACATTTAATAATCTAAAATACTGCCATCTTGAAAAAACATAAAAATGCAGAAACGGTCCTTTAAAGTTCATCAGCCCAGCTGAAAAACATCCATCTTGCCAGCCTCAAAGTCAGGCTCACATCTACACAGACACATTTGCTTTCATTGTTCCCACCACTCTCCTCTTTTTCAACCACCAAGTAAGCCATACCCAAAACTACTATACTGGCAACACTGCCGAGATGTCCCTTCACATTCACAATTCTTTGGATTCCAGTCTTCACAATTAACAGAAGATGCAGGCTTCTGAAAAGGGATGTAGAAAGGCTGCCCGGGTGCCTTGCCTTTTCTACGCCTACAGCACCTAGGAAAGTGCACCAAAAACCACCCAACAGAAGCAAAGATTGAGAACACAGCTGAGAGCAAAACTGGAACAACTCTTTTGCCACATCCTCCCTTCTGCTGACTAGTTTCCATTTCAAGTTTGAATGACACATTCATAGTTCCACTGAAAACTCACAATCTGACTTGATGTTGAAGCTGGAAGGGTCTAGAGCACAAGTCTTATGAGGAGCAGCTGAGGGAATTGGGGTTGTTTAGTCGGGAGAAGAGGAGGCTGAGGGGAGACCTTGTCACTCTCTACAACTACCTGAAAGGAGGTTGTAGAGAGGTGGGGGTCAGTCTCTTCTCCCAAGTAACAAGTGCTACAACAAGAGGAAACGGCCTCAAGCTGCGCCAGGGGAGGTTTAGATTGGATATTAGGAAAAAATTCTTCACTGAAAGGGTAGTCAGGCACTGGAACAGGCTGCCCAGGGAAGTGGTGGAGTCCCCATTCCTGGAGGTATTTAAAAGACGTGTAGATGTGGTGCTTAGGGACATGGTTTAGTGGTGCTTGGTTAATGGTTGGACTTGGCAGTGCCAGGTTAATGGTTGGACTTGATGATCTTAAAGGTCTTTACCAACCTAAACGCTCTATGATTCTATGTTCAATAGTGGTACCACAGTATTACGCATCACCAGTACCACTGGTTGTTTTCAGTTGCATACCCCATTGGGCTGAAATTTTCTATGAAAGTTTTTTTTTTTTCCCCCAAACTGATTTTTAAAAAATACTCTTCAGCTATTTCCAAGAAAAAAAAAAGGCTCGGGGAAAAACTTATTTGCCAGTTTTTAATGTATTTTACTATTTCTATACAAATCGTAGGGCTATCTGTTTGGAGCAAATACTTTAAGTACATCAAGTAAGCCACAGGCTCAAAGATGCGCCCTTCCACATCTTAATGATAATTTACAAAATTCAGCTACATTATGAAGTGCAGAAAGTCACAGTGGCTCACAGAGAAAAATTATTAGAAGCTTGCTTATTACCTTCCAAATGTTCAAATGCATTTCTAGCTCCCCCTCCGGACCATCACATGAATCTACGATAAGCAAAGTAGTATGTTTGTAAAAAGAAAAAAAATTTTACAAACTAAAAAAAAAAAAAAAAATCTGTCCTACCTACATGCTCCTACTCCTATGAGAAATGTTCCACTTAACTTCTTTCCTACAGCTTTTTCCCCCCTACCCTGCCTATATCTTGCAGTGTTTTTAATAGTCAAAAAACCCAAAAAGATTATGGAATTTTATTTACAAGACTATCACTCTGCTTATACACTAAATATCAATCTCAGCCTAAACAGAGAAGAGAGATTTATGAGTGAATAAATCCACGCATGTCTCCTCAGGTAGCAAAAAACAAACTCTTTCTGACACAGTAAGTAAAAAAGTCATACAAGTTATTCCTGGAAGAGCTGAAAATAAAGTCCCTCAGCTAAACTTTTCCCATAGCCTGTCAAATGGGCACTCGTAAGCATACCATCTGTGTAGAACACTTTCCATTCACAACTTTTTTCTCTCCTAGCGTTACTTCTCACTTAGCAGTGAACAGGCAGAAGTTGGGTACACCACCCATACAAGACAAAGAAGCCCATGTTAAATATCTCCCTTTCAAGCCTCACCAACACCCTTATGTTGTTACCAAGACGTCAGCTGAACACACGTTATGCATTAATGAAACCAAATGTACATGCAAAAAGCTAGGCGGTCCCAAAAATAAAAGCTCTCTTTTGGGAAAGAACTCTTCAAAGTAACGGTAAACAAGGGTCGGTTAAAGATTACAGGCTTGGTTAAGGCTGGGGGGTGAGGGGGTGCGGGGTGTCATATTATCGACCAAGGCAGCAACGAACAGCCTTGTTGTGAAGGAACACGAAGCGCACGGTAAGCGGAGAGCTTTACTAGGAGCCAAGCTGACAGTGTGTAAAAAAACACAGCGCTGACACAGCACTCTTTAGTAGTAATTCTGCTACTGTGAACAAAAGCTGATATTCTGACGTTTCAGGGCAGCACACTTATTAAACAAAATCATTAATTTTCTTAATACTTTTTCTACCACGTTAATATATGGTGAAAGCTTGGAATAGCATTAGTGCCTACCAAATACATGATTATTTTTGTCTTAGTTGATAGTATGCAATTTGGATGATGTACAAAATTCACGTACTGTAATAAATCAGGATGAAACAACAACATAAATTAATTTCCTTATACTTTCTGCTGGAAATAAGGCAAATTTGGTGGAAGCTGTCACAATGTTGCAGCTTTTTATTACCTTTCCACTGCCACACTTGCACGGCTGACCTCATGAGGAAACTTAGGCTCAAATCTGTTATTTTATCTAATAACAAACAAAAACGTACTACAAAGAAATCAGTTTAACAACAGTCAGTTTAACACGTTTCTACAGCTTCTAACAGGAATCAAGAACTGTGAACATTTTTAACAGCAGTCAAATCAAAACGCTTAATCTAATTTTCTCGTTGTTTAATTCTAAGAGGGGTTCAGCTACTTGTCTGAATCAAAACAGCCA